CCAACCAGCATTTAGAAATGTGAAAGGTCTTCTTTAAGAAGAGGACGAAGACAGGGACTCTTCCGTTTCCTCAGCATGGATCGACTCGAGGAGCTTATGCTAACTCAATTATGCAGTCGGAGAAGAATAAATACCACATGATCTTCCTCATTTGTGGATATAATGACATCACTAAACTGATGAACAGGGACTGATCCAGAGACGGAGAGGCATTGATTGGACTGTCGGGCCTTGGAGGGAAGGTAGGGGAGGGTGGGGGTAAGGGGGAAAGATCAACCAAAGGACTTACATGCAAGCATATAGGTCTAACCAATGGACACGGACAACAGGGGGGGAGGGGGGGAGGGCCTGAGGGGGGGGTAGGGGGTAACGTGGGTATAAGGACACATGTAATATCTTAATAAAAATATATTAAAAATAAAAATAAATAAATAAATAAAATTAAAAAAAATTTTATTGGGGGACAGATAGGTATAGGTTAAATTGTAATTTGTTCCTTAAAAATAGTCACATTTAGCAAGAGAGGAGGATGCTTGGCTTGGTATGAAAGTGAGAAGTCCAGGATGGAAGGACTGAAATTTGGCTCAAACTGAAGAAAAAAAGAAAAGCCCTGCTGTTAACCAGGCTGGGAGGGCAGACACAGAGTTAGCAGAAATGCTGTCTCTCCCAAGGTCATGCAACAACGATGAAATGTCATGACCCCTTCTTTCTTTGTGTGACCTCTGTTACGTTGACAATGACACCTCCAGACTTATTAGCTACCCGCACCCACCTATTACTGAGGACTGCAGTTGCTAAACTGCCCTCGCTCATGAGAATATCCAGCCTCCTCTTAGTCCTGCTGCAGAAACCGCATCCAGCCCACAACTGGTCTCCCTCAGAGCTGCTCAGCATCCTGCAGCAGGAACCCAGACCTCACCCAGAGGTGGAGTGCTAATCATGGCTCCTTTAGAGCGAGCCCTTGCTTGCAAGTCAGTCAATATGATTTTGTCAAACTGCAGGCTTGAGCCTAGGGGTCTTTGGCTGACTTTGGCAGATATAATTTAAGGTCATGTACACTACTGCCAT